CCGTAATCATATAAAAATACACGTTAAGTATTGATATCGCGGAAGACCGGCTTCTGTCTTTGTGGCTGTAGATTCTTTACATGGTTTTATTCAGTTAGCGGACCACTGCATTCTGAAGTCATCAAAGGCTTTACGATAGCATCCAGTGGAAGAGGGTCATTTTATCACTGTGGCTAAAAGGCATGAATGTCAGATCATTGATTTAAAAATGTTGTTTGGGCTAAAAAACAACAACGGTGAACATATGATGTAACTAACTGGAACACCTTTGTGGTGGTGAAAGTGGGGTCGGTATTGTGAAACCTGAAGCTGAGTGAAGGACTTAAGATGCAAGGTACTGTGTCCTATAAGAATACATTATGTCATGACACATTACAGGTAATTTTACAGAAGATCTTGAAAAGGGTTTTGTCGCTGTTCTATTTTGTGATAACCAGCTATAAGGTCTGAGGCACCGCAATTCACTGAGTTGTGTTCCTTAGGAGTGCCAGGATCCGATAAGCGTCCTAATCCTGGAGTATGAGGTTCGTTTGTCAGCAAATAACAGCGCTTGACTTACTTTGTCCATCCCTCCAACATTTAGCTGACACGCCGCGATACAACTTAGTACGACCCAAAGCTAGTGTTATGTTATGTGCTGTGTGTCAAATGTATTATTGAGTGTTTGATAATAGGTTCTACATCGGAATCTGAAGGCAGTCGGAGGCCTTGAACTAGTATTTGTTCCCTTGATTCTTAATAAATAAAGGCGACAAAACCCTTTCCATATTCATAAGAAATCTGTGCCAAAAGCAGCGTCGATTGTACGATTCCGACTATATAATGAGCATGTGTTTATGAATCACTATCGAATAGTAATGATGCCAGGTGTTCGCGAAAAGAAAAGCGTATCCTGCCCCACAGGGGGCAACCGTCACAAACACATGCAAAGACAAGTCAACTAATTGCCCACATAAAAAGACACTGGAACATATGGTACAAGTCAAAATAGTGCATGGCATCGGACATCATTTTTGTCACTGATGCGTCGAGTTTTACATAACGAATAAAATATAACATTGTCTACACTTCCCATTCAAATTAAAAGTTGCAAAGCAAATTATTTGCGTCAGCATTTACATTAGAAATAACCATGCACCAAATTTGTACACCGATTACGAACGACCTGCCAGATATGACTTGCACAATGTAATGATGAGATTTTTCTTCCTGCAAGATGACATTTGGCATAAAATGCCAGATTAAAGAACGCATACACTTGAAACTTGGATTTGACCAAAACATTACAAACGTTATCTAATTGTTACTACGCTGAGAACAGTCGACGAAACACTGCAAACCTCAGGTCAAAAACACAACGATGATACCCGTATGAAATACATCACTATTTCTTGTGTTTGTCATTTTCAGCCACCATCAAACATGGGTGTACATTCTTTATTTTCTGTGTCTTTCACTGAGTTGAGGTGAAATTGGGTTTAACGTCGCGTCCAAGATTATTGCACTTATATAGCGACGTGCATGTACGTGTGTGTGTTTGTGTGGCTGCTTGTACTAGTCCGGACTGATGCTGATTTATAGTGCTAGCTCACTGAGATACCATGCCGCAGTTTAACATGAATACCCCACTCAGACACAGTATACTGACTCCGAGCCGACCAGTCCTTGATTTAGCCCCTTAATGCCGAACGCCAGACAGGGTAACAACAAGTACCATCTTTGAACGTCTTTTGGTATGACGCGGCCGGGGATCGAACCCCGGACCTTCCGCTCTCCGGGCGGACGCTCTACCACTAGACCACGGAGGCGGTCGTCTCTCACTGAAAGAATGGTACAACAAAACTGAAAGACGAATATATAGAAAGAAATACCGTTATATATAAATACTGTATTATTGTAAACATAGCAGTGGGGCTGGTGGGGTAGCCTAGTGGTTATATTCGCTCGTCACGCCGAATATCCGGGTTCGATTCCCCACATGGTTACAATGTGTGAAGCCAATTCCTTTTGTCCCCCGCCGTGATATTGCTGGAATATTGCTAAAATTGGCGTAAGACCACACGCACTCACTCGAAGTCAGTGTTCCATTAGTCTAAAAATAAGAAGCCGCATTTGCTATGCGGAGTTAGCTCCCTTTATTTGTGTCGTGGTTCGAATCCCAGATAAAGCCAAATAATGTTCATGCTTGGGGTGTCGCCAAAGTGATAACAGTCTCCTACATGTGAACGATGGGCTTTCATCGCAATGAGACAAAACTGAAATACTGTTCAAAGCCAAAACCAAAACCACTCCCACACACGTAACAGGTTTGTGCTGATAGAATATCAGATGGAGATGCTGGTGTAGGGCACATTGCATCATGCATAAACCTTAGACCTAATAAGATTCTTTGTCACTAAAGATGTCGCTGGGGTTTATAGAAGCCATGTGACACAATCAAACACGGCATCCTAGTAAATGTGGCTTGGCGTGTCAATTTGATGACTTTATCCGAATTTGATATTTAGTCATACAATCATATCCCGTCAGATTTAGGACCGTCATCCATTGATGTTTGCCCAACACCATCATCAAAGCCACCTATAACATCAAGCAGGCGATAACGCCTAATTTACTGCTAATATCCAATCTAATCAAACATAACAGTGCTTGTTATTTGATACGGCAGCAATAACAACAGAGGCTTAAGACAATATTTATCATTATCACACACGATTTAGTCACCTAATACAAGTCTTGTCCAACATTCTCTATATCCCTTCGCCATATAAACCTTACGGAGCAAAGATCCAAGTTGACAGGAATTCTCAGGGAAAAAAAATCGATATTTTTTTATTTCGGATATTAAGCCTTACTATCGGTCTGTATGATTTAGGTAACTGCGCTGATGTTTTTATGAGGCGAGGAATTACGTCGGCAGTCCGGAGTCAGTCACGTGGCAAACACGAGCCTACTTCCGAACCCAGCAAATCTCTCGCCATCTTTGATATTGGGACCTGTCACCATAATGTCATTGCGCTCTGCAGGACTTTGAAGGTTATACAATGCAACTCATATTCAAACCAAAAATAGTGGTCTCCTTCGCCAGAATTCGCCTGACAAATATTATAAAGAAAGGTGAGTTTATTGATATTAGAAGTGTGGGTTTGTTAATGATTTCCCACCTACAGTGCTCTGGTTTCTTAGTTGTGGTTGCTGAGGCCAACTATGATTAACTGTTCGTCATCTCCAGGTGGAGATAACTGGGGTGCCCGGGGTTTAAGGTATAATGGGAGTTTAACAGAAAGGAATTTACATCAAATTTTAACTGTAATGATGTCTAGTTATTTTGTAATTTTGTTTGTTGTTTTACGCCGCACTCAGCAATATTCCAGTGATAGCGGCGACCTGTAAAGAATCTAGTCTGGATCAGACAATCCAGTGATTGACATCATGAGCATCGATTTACGCAATGATGACGTGTATTTTGAATAAACCAAGTCAGCGAACCTTACCACCCGATCCCGTTAGTCGCCTTAATTCTTACCCGGATCTTCACGAGATGCAGGCCGAAGTGATATATATTTTGCTTACTGTGACTTAAGGCAACATTGTCAGGAAAAGAATTATGCTTGGTGTGAATACAGTTTTGGATGGCGTACGTGGAAAGCAAGCACCTCTAATTTTGCAGGCAAATGTCAAGTAGAATACCAACTGAAGGTACGTCGTGATGACTTCGAGATGACGTCATTGCAAACAGGAGCAATGAGATGGATTGACAGCGCTTTGAACAGTAGTTTGATTTAAAAACACGATGCCGCGGCACCATAATATCACACGACGATTATGATAAATATAAAAAGTCAACGCCAAAGAATAATCAGTCTCGATCTTCTGTCGAAACATATTCCATTAGGCGTAAAAGACAAAATAGTGGTGAAAATTCTATGAATGGATCGCTGAGAATTAGTGTTGACTCCAGGTGTTCGCAAAAATGACGCCTCACACGTCTTATTTTCTAAGTCTGAGTTTTTTCACCTTCTGGTCGCTGCCTACCCATGCGGAAGAAGGAACAAATGAGCTCGTAAATGCCTTTCATGTCAGGCAGCATTGATTTTTGTACCAGGAAACCAACTAATTTTACCCCAGTATAAAAATGTCGGCCTGTAATTGCATCCCTTTAGGAGACTTATGAAAGTTTAATTTGTAACATAGTTAACGAGTCAGGTCCGGATCTCCTTATTGTCATATTTCAAAGATTATTGATGACGTTATTTTATCTCATTAGGTTCTAATACTAATATATATCACATACTCTATATTGAAATATTCTGATTTGTAAGTGAGTATCGCAGCTTTCTAGACACACTTATTACCCTCAATGCCACTTGAAATGAAAGAAATGCATAGAAATATTGCTCACATACATCTTTATTCATAATGTGCCTACACTTAAGGGACATTTTCTCATGTAAATATAGAAAATGAACCTCTCTTTTTGGTCTTTCTGGACGTCGGAACCTCTCTATATCGACTGTCCTGTCGGTTACGCAATTACAGCTATGTTAAGTGTGTCCTATTATTGGTGTTTAAAGCCTAATGTTGACTCGACTGCTGCGTGTAGGGTCCACGCTGAAGAGGAACAGTGAGCCATGTTTGACGACTCACTGTCGCCAATGTTTGAACTAGTCATTCATGGCAGCTTATCGGGTGATTGACAGAGCAGAGTAGCCGACAGACCGCCAACAAGAGTTCATTTAAACCGCCAAACCTGTCCTGGAGTTAATGCCCAACAGTCATGTTTTGTTGATTTAGCAAGGGAGAGGGGGAGGGCAGCATTTACTGGATATCTTAAGGAGTTCTTGTCATCTTGTCAAATATTAGCCGAGGAATTCATTAATTCTTCCATTGCTGGTGTCTTAATTAAATCATGCTCCAATTATTTTTATTTTTGCGAAAATGGCGTTAGATATAAGATGTCGTAATAGTTGTGAAAGAAGTATTGATCTACAAGCACTCACGTTTGAAATGCTCCTTACACAGAGGATGAAATACGGCGTCAAGGTTTTGCTGCCTTTGTTGGATATCTTGGGTGATGTTTTCTTGATGCGGTTCCATGCAACTTGTGTAATCCCCATACAGTCTGCAAAACACACAAACAAAAGACATATTATAAACTGATGATTAACTCGCGGCTAACAACTCCGCCATTGGTCGTTACTACATAACATGGCCGCCCATCTCCTTGATAGGGTCACGTACGCTCGTTTGGCACGTGCTAAAAGCGTGACCAATGTCACATGCATCATGGCGCAATTAAAACATCGGGGGATCTTTGCCAATGGCTGCGATCTTTCTTCCTTCTCTGTCTTACGAAGTGGCGTGTTTGATATCCATTGCCTCATATTTCTGGCGTCATAAGATTGCACCAACAGTCGACTGATTTTCAAGACACCCATAAAAAACCCGTCAGACACATAACATTCAATGGACACATTAAAAGACCTTCTATTTGCAGCAATCATGGGATTTATGTAATAGAATCATAGCGCAAAGGTGTTCATTTGAAAACATTCTCTTAAATTCACTTTAAGTGTTAAACAATCCCGAATATAGTTTTAATGATAATATGTCATAAAATGTATATACTTTTCAGCCTTGTAGTCCACAAAATGCCCGGAAAGCGCATATCCGTCATTAACTCTTACAGAACGTAAGACAATGGTGTGGTTGAGTGTGGACTAGGAGTATTTCAGGAATGTTTCGGCAAGGAAAGCGTGGGGAAGGCCTAAAGTGACGGTTGTCGGAGACGTGTAGCACTTCGTGAAACTCAAAAGCACAGGTAGTGCTGACAAACTAAGGATTGCAATCGGTGGAAATCAGTGTTTCGAATCAAGTGTTTCGAAGCCAGGACAATGAACTGTTGTGCTTAGACACAGTTTGTTTGGTTTGTTGGTTTGTTTTTAACGCCGCACTTAGCAATATTCCAGCTATATGACGGCGGTCTTTAAATAATCGAGTCTGGACCAGACAATCCAGTGATTAACATCATGAGCATCGATCCACACAATTGGGATCGATGACATGCATCAACCAAGTCAGCGAGCCTGACAACACGATCCCGTTAGTCGCCTTTTACGACAAGCATAGTCACCTTTTACGGCAAGCATGGGTTGCTGAATACCTATTCTACCCAGGAATCTTCACGGGTCGACACAGTTTGGGCCGGGTCACTTGTGCAGAGGCACAGACAGTTGACACTTATAATGAATTGGTTGCAAATGATATGATTATTGGTGTCAAATATTAAAATGAGTGGGCGTTCGCTCGCTTAAACGTAGGTTCCCCGGTTCTATTCCAAACATACGGTGTGAATTGTACCTGTGGTCAGGCTGTAAAAGGTTCCTGGGAGTTATCTCCCCTTATCTACCAGGATGCGCTGGTATTACGGAGATTCGAATGAGAGTTTCGCAAGGATTAGGATCCCTAGTTTGTCGGCACCATACCAATGCTCGTGCTTCACAGAAGTGATCATATACAAGTTCAACGATTCGAGTGCCACAGTTTTATTAAAATAAGTGGACTGCACAGTCGAAACGTTAGAAACGAACAAGGAAATATAAACTGTAAAATATACACCTATGTTTGGTGTCTATAATTGAAAAAAACAATAAATAGTTTTTAGATGGTGATGTGTTTGATACGGGTATCATGGCTGTGGTATCGACCTTAAGTTTGCGATGTTTCGGCGCGTTTTTCCAGCCGAGTAACGTTTTGATAACATTTGTAAATTTTTGGTCAAATCCAATTTTTATGTGTATACTTTCTTTTTCCTGGCAGTTTTTGTCGTATTGTGAAGAAAATATCTTCTTATGGATCTACATGTACATATATCCAATTATTTCTTAACCATTAAACAACTATGAGATGGATGTTTCAATAAAATTATTTACCTTAACTCATCATGCATTTTATGCATAGGATATAAGTAGGATATAAAAAGCACATATACCATGTTATTTATTCAGTTTAGTATGACGCCGGTTTAAAGCCAGTGCTGCAAGAAGAGCCGGATTCAGGAATAACCCAAACTGAATCATTTCACCGCCGAAATTACTGCAGACAGCCCACAAACCTGTCAATTTTCATGCAAATACATTCACTTGGCTAAAAAGGTTGTTTGATCAATAGAATTTAATAAAGTCATTTGGTGATATGCCATTAACCTCCAGCTCTGAACAAAGTAACTTGACGCTCCTCAAAGATTAGTTTTTGGTTGATTGAGGTAACGCAAGGAGGGCGCTAAACATGAATGATGCTCGTCCGACTAATGTGACAAAAACACTGTGACAGCTAGCTATATTGCATGCCGGGCGTTAATCATTTACACACACACACAGGCGCTTGTTGACGGACACAGCATCGGGACAGGGACGTCTCGAAATAGACATAATTGTTGGATGGTTTCTTCTGTTGAAATAGAAGGAACATCTACATGCTAATTGTTGGGACGGTCTAAATTTGCCAAAGTTCCTTCGTTTATGTTCCCGCAGTTCCAGCCTTTGATGTCTACATTTCACAACTTTTGAGGTACAATCTACGAAGATGTCAAAGAGCGTCATGAGACTATTGCTCGAAAGTTGTTTAATCAAAGTTACAACATTCAAGTTTCATGTGGACATGGGGAGGATATTTCCAAATTTGACACACCAGTGACCAAAATTATGTCAGATGCAATTCCTTATTTTGACGTGTACCACATGTTCAGATGAAGAATTGACTTGCCTTTGCATGTTTTTTTGTGAAGGGTGTCACCGTTGGGGCAGGATACGCTCACAATTTCGAGAACACCTTGTGTCATCACTATTTAATAGTGATTCATAAACACATGTTTATGATATATCGAAAGCCTACAATGGACTCTGCTTTAAGAAGACATTTCTGATGATTATGGAAATGTTTTTATCGCATTTATCTACATATTCACCCCAATAAAGATCCTTGGCTAACGCCTACAACCTTCATAATTTTCTGCGATTTTCATATGACGCAGAGTAATTTAAGCGAAATAACAAAACGGCGTTAAACCTACCCCGCTTTACATAACAAGACATTGCCTTAGGAATTGAAGTTGTACTGTTTAGTAAGTTTAAAATCCCTTCTTTACCCCCATGCATTGAATCAACGTTAAATCGAAGTCATAAACTAGATTTGTCTTTAAGACGACAAAATTTACATCTGCCGGTATCATTTCCAAGTCAGAATGCTTATCGTCTAAAATCGCCACTCCGGCTGTCCAGAACACCGGATATCGCGATATGGCGTAGATGGTTCCCAGATATTCTGCTTAACGAGGATTCATTATGAAGTCAATAGAGCCATGGAGGCGATTAGAAGTTGGCTGCTAATTGCCCTTTTGTCCGCGATAAGAGTATAAAATGAAACGCTGCATAATGAAATGTATATCGTATTCGTTAATTTATGGTAGCGGATAAGCAAGAAGGAAAAGGTACAGGAGACCTATTGATACAATAACAATATCCTGCACTGATGTTCAGGGATTCATTCATATATTTTCCTTTTAAGCACTTTGGAAACATGTTCGCCACATATACGGGACTGATTAAAATATATTCTGGCGTTGACGTTTTGAATTAACTACTAGTTAAGTGAGTGAGTGAGTTTTGTTTGAAAAGGCCGAAGTAATTCAAGTCGCAGACGTTAAACACTTTGGTCCCTCTAATATTGACAGAATGACTCGGACGTAAGTGCCTGATTCCCAGTCGAACTCACATCTAACACAATCTGTACGGCAGACCCATCCTGTTTCGATCGCGAGGTACTTTCTATGTTGAGGAACGAGTAATATCATTTTCTTCGATATAAGTTATACTGACACCTCGTCTTCTGCACGATATATATATGTAAAGAAATTCCCACAATAATCACACGACACGCATTGTTCTACATGTGTCAACTTTATATATTCTATATCTAAATCTATATCTATACATCTATTCATATACATATATATATGGAGAATCTGGCCAAAGTGTCTTTTGATATCAAATATATCAACACGAGTCGATAAAAGAGTACACTTTTATCGACGAGTGTTGATATATCTGATATCAAAAGACACAAGGGTGAGATTCTATTTATCATCCAACATCATTCTTCGAACTCTTTCCGTTTGTAGACAGTAATAAGCAGTGTCTTTAAGTGTAAAAAGTACTGCTAACAGCGTCGGTAGCAGAGCCATTAGTGATGTCATTTGATTGTGATGTAATGGTAACCAATGATGTCACAATGGTCTGCAAGCGACATCTACAATGTAGGGTGAAATCAAGCGATATGTCCCGTGGGAGCCAGTTTTTGATGATAAATATCTATATAATATATTATTAAGTCTTCGAAAGACTTTAGTTGGTTGGTTTGTTGTTTAACGCCGCACTCAGCAATATTCCAGCTATATGACGGCGGTCTGTAAATAATCGAATCTGGACCAGACAATCCAGTGATTACTATTATGAGCATCGATCCACGAAATTGGGATCGATGACATGCATCAACCAAGGCATGTAGAAGTGATACACATAAGGAAGAGTATTTATGGATGTCAACTTCTATCTATCTATCTATCTATCTATCTATCTATCTATCTATCTATCTTATGCTTGTCGTAAGAGGCGACTAACGGGATCGGGTGGTCAGGCTCGCTGACTTGGTTGATGCATGTCATCGATGCAAATTGCGTGGATAGATCTATCTATTTGTTGTGTACGTTGCTTTGTTAAATAGTGATTTTCAAATAGTGATAAACCAACCCAACCCGCGTAAGTTTAGCTTTCTGAAAGTTATGAGTCACTCACTCTCTGCACACCATTAGACATCTCTCTAAAACAGCGTCCATTGTACGTTTTCGACTACATCAGGGCATAACTATGTCGGGGACATAACTCTGAATTCGTTTATCTGGATTCTGTCACTGAGTCCGGATTAACCATTATCTACTACATATGCACTCTGCATGCTTGGTAAAAAACATTTTCTTTATACACATGTGTAAATTAGCTATCTTTCCTAAGTCTGTTGTCTTCTGTTAACGGAAATTACGAGAACCCAAAACGATGTGAGTCATCA